GAAGAGGTGGAGAACTGGAAAAAGGCAAGAAGAAACAGTGGGAAAAGGGCTTAGAAAGCATAAGTTCATTTTGCTAAGGGGCAGGGACAATAAAATAGCAGACTTATTTGGAGAAAGGCTGATAATGTGCTAGAAGGAAAAAAAAATATTTGCAGCAGACAAAGAAACTGAGGTATGAAACTGATTGATGGACAAAAGGAACAAGAGGAGAATACGTAATTAATGAAAAATTGACTGCAAGAGTGGAGTAGGACCAGAAATGTTTGAGGACACGCAGAGTGCAAAGGGTCTCCTGGAACACAGATATTTTTTGGAAAAAAAAAAAAAAAAAAAAAAAAAAAAAAAAAGTTAGGCCTGAGAACTCATGGGAACTAAACAGGGTGAGAAGACTTAGCAGAAAATGGTGGAGCTGGTTTCGGAAGCAGCTGGAATGATGGCATGTAGAAGTTGGAAATTAATTGGAAGAAAGTAGAAATGGTATGGATTGAGGTGTTTGCTAGAATATAAGAAAGAAATAGAGAAGATGAACAGATGAACAAAATAGCATCCTGAGAGAGAAAAAATTTGGTTAAGCTTCCTTATTCTTATTGGGATAGCTTTGGGAGAAGAGGACAAAACAATCTCGGAGTCATTTAGGAAAAGGAAGATATGGCAGGGACACCATATGAAAAGAATGGCAATGGGGAAGACAATGCAGAAGCAGAACACTTTTAGAGGAATTTAAATAATGTGTAAAGGCAGTGGTGTTTAAATGGAATTAAGATGAATGTGCAGGACTTGGGAGGGAAACTACAGAGAGATAGACAATTGGGAATGCGGGATTTATAGAGGAAAAGAAAAATTAATAATATAGGCAGATAAGTACATGGTAAGTAATCAAATGGGGAAGAAAAAGTCAATGGAAATAAGAAAGTAAGAGAGGCAGTAAATGTCATTGTTCTAGCGCTTCGTAAGAGGTCTGGTAACAAAACAGTATATAAAAGTCAAACATTATCTTTGTATGGTACCTTTTTGTGTGGGATGAGGGGGTCTTGGGAAACCGGATTGGGAGCTAGGCATAGGCATCTAGTGAACCTACAATATGTATGGAGAAGAGGATAATGGGCTTTATTATTATTTTAAACAGAAGCAAGAAAGAAAACATTTAAAACCAGTGTCTACACCAGTTCCTAATAACTCAGTATCTGTATCTGTTAAAAAAGGAGACCCATAATTGGGTTATTTATTATGATTATTTGTATTTTATGTATATTCCAGCAAACTCTTATCTACCCAGTATTTAAAAAAACCCAAATCCAACCCTAAAATAACCTGTACTGCTTCTTTCTGTAGTCTCATATTCAAATTTATTTTTACTATATCTCCCCTTTTATAACAGACTTTACATGAACTAAAAGTGAATCTGAATGAGTGCTACATGATGAAAAACAGAACAGAACATAACCACCTTATTGACAAATGCAATTATCTTTTACACATTCCTTACAAAAGTTATAGTGAAAAGTATAAACATTAAATATAACTTCAAGTTGACATAGATTCTTTTATTTATAACAAAGGGTAGATCAAAACTTTATTTTTAATTATGATTTCCTTGTGTAATGTTTTCTTAAATGCAGAAATTACACTTGGTATTTCAATTATTTCACTTCACTACAAAATGCTGCAGCTTTCCAACTTTTGTTTGCTTCGTTATAGAACTGCATAGCATGCTTAATACAGTAAGTCGAAAAAAATTAAATGATTGTGGATAAAGACACTATTACCCCAGACATGCTTTGATACCAGGATACATTTTTGAAAGGAATAAGAAAGGCATAAATATTTCCCTAGTAAGTATTTTTTTCCAGAACCCGAAACATGAAAAAGATAGTATTATATTCTTTATTATGGAATATGGCGTATATTCTATATAGTAATTCTATAGCACATACTAGAATATACAAAGTATCATTTGTAGATAAAATGTAAGGACATAATTGAAATTTTGCAAAATTGGAAAGACATGGTCTTTGTTGCCCCAATGAAAATTTTAGAAAGTGTTGGAAAAATCCCAGTTTCACCCATTAGAAAGCTTTTGTAGTGTTTTGCAGCTAAATTCTCCAAGGAGCCCATCTGTACTGAGCATGCTTTATCCTGGCGTTGCAAGAACGAAGCAGCATTCCCTGCAACCCTCTCTCCTCATTCCTACAAATAACTGCTGCACTAAATATTGAGATAAGAACAGAGAAATTGTCTTTGATTTTCTCTCAGTGCTGCTCTCCCCAATATCCAGATGCAGAAGAAGAAACAGAATGTGTACTGAAAGCAGTAGGGAACGTGAGATTGATGGGGAGGTGAGAGGAAGCAAGGAATAGAGAGAGAGATGTGGTACCAAACAGGGAAGGCTGCTAATGGGGAGTGACAATGCAGCATGGACTTTCAAAATGGCTGGACAAGAGAAGCAGCCAAGTGGAAGGGTCAGACAGAGACAGGGGGCTGGGGGTCACTGAGGAGAGAAAGAACTTTTAATTAAAGCAGTAATCAGGGTGGCATGAAACTGAGTTCAGAATAGAATGCTGGAAGAAGGTGAAGTTGGCAAAAGAGAAACACAATGTAATGTAGAGCCAGGAGAGAGTGTGTTTAGCCATTGATAAAAGGTGGAACTGGAGTCAGGAGGAAGAAGCCAGAAGGAACTGGAACACAGAGATACAGGAGTAACAGGGATACATGCTAAGGACAACACAGAAAAGGGAGGTTATGATGAAAAGGAATCCTCCTTTCAATACTGGAAGTGAACACAAAGAGTCCTGACACTTAGCATTACTCGTCTGCCATTAACTGTTTCTGAAACCTGTCAGCCTACAATAGCTAATCCACAATGACAATGATCCACATAACTCCTACAGTTAGTGTTGTATGGTTACATATTTTGGTAGATCTAAAAGCTCTGAACTGTTGTATGACAATTAAGCTGAATATATTAAATGATAAGAAATTGCAACTCTATTTCTTCCTTCTTTTTTACTTTTCCACAGAAAAACCTATTTTAATTATATGTTAAGACTGCAAAGTAGAGACAGGAAATGTCAGAATTAAGGTTGCCTTCGCAATGTGATCCAATAACTTGATCAAAACATATTATGGACCAGTCTTTAATTAAATAATCATCTGTGGGTTGTTTTTTTTTCTTGCACCACCTTGAACAGATGAATCAAGGAAAGGTCATCATTACTGAGAATGCTGCTTGTAAGCCCTTGATTTAATTTGTTGCAGAAATGGAAATACATGAAATGAGCATAAACAGGCAGAGGATAGCTGGAAAAGAATGGATAATCATGGTTAAAAAGCTGAAGTGCTGTTCCTATGTAGTTTGGGATAAGTCCTTCAGAATACATACTTCCAAAATACTCAGTAATTATGTGTTGTTCATTTTATAAATATCCAGCTTGGTATCTCAGCCCATAAATGAAATGGAATTGAACAGGAACAGTGATTTTAAATACACTGAATACATTTGCCAAAAAATGCAAAGTATCCTGAAAAAATAGGTCCTAGCTACTTAAAAGTTAAGCAATTTGTCATCTCTGTGACTCTGTTTCCCTGCTTTCAAATGGGAATACTCCAAACTTCACTTCCTTGCGGGAATGCTCTGAAGATGAAGTAATTAATATTTGCAAAGAGCTCAGATAGTGCAGTGACTAGTGTAACAGAATGGCCTCCCAGGAAATTAGAAGTCTGTCTTTGCACCAAACAAAATAACAAAATGACTGGATTACAACAAAATGACATAATGACTGGATTCTTACTAAATGAATTACAGCAAATGGTGCTTTGAATAAAGCATATATTTTATGGGAAGGAAATTAGGATTCTCATATAACAAACCTCATAACATGTACCCATTTCCCAGGCAACATTTAATCTGGCATACTCCAACTTGTGAGCTATTGACTTTGCAGACATAACTTGCTTTAAATCTAAATGTTTTTGTTTATATACATGTGTTTGTCCTACATAAGAACTTATTGCCTCTTTTGGATTTGTTTATAGGCTCAATACATTAAAAGCTTGTTGACTTTTTAGTCTGTTGTTATAGCCTCCTTGCAGCACACCAGTAACAACTCTAGGAATTAGAAAAAGTGATTAAATAACACACAGATGATGTCAAATAATACTATTAAGATGATTGACTTTGAAATGCAAAATAAAGGCAAGTGAGAGTGATTATGCTAATAATTTTAGGCTTGCCTCTGAAAAATGCACCTTCATTTATGATTGAAAACAAATGCTACTGTTACTGTTTAGTATTCATGTAGGTAGATTTTGCCTGTTGACTAGAGAAGACATTACAACTTTAATAGTATCCTAAAAAATTGCTCTTTACTAATATCTTGTTGTTTACAATATATAGATATAAACATTTAGGAGAAGTAATATGACTTTCTTTAGTATTTCATGTATAAATGTACTCAGTAGACTTGTTTTATTAAAATGTAAATAATGGGATATGGTAAATGAAAAATCCAGGAAGGGAATAAACAGATTATTTATCAGTAATACTCAGAGTAGCTTATTGAAACATACCTTTCAGTATCTGCCACTGAATATTAGTTATGAAATTCTCATCATGCCTTGCAAGTTACCCGTTAGGTTTAGCCATTTCTTTAGCTAAAAGGCTCAAAAGTTTCAAATATACCTTTAAAAAATTGTTATCTCACATGTAACTATACATATTCACAAAAACTGCATCCAGCATGTCTGAGTTTCAACCCAATATTGCCTCAAATTAATTATTCTTCTTCAATTGCTCTGTATAAACAGAAATGACCTATTAATTTAAAGAAAATCTATCAGCATAGAATGTATTCTCTCTTATAAACAAGCAAGATGAACTTGACCTTGTTTGAACTTGTTTTGATGTAGCCCAGATGGTAGGCTACATGCTTGAATAGCAGTCTAAAGCTGAGGAAAAACTCATATAGCAAGATCTAGATTTATAGCCTTTTGCAAATTCCTACCTTGTATTGTCCTTTCAGCATCTGTTCTGCCCCCGCTGCGGTCAGCTTCTATCTCTGGGGTCAGAGAGTCTAGAAACATAGAAAGGTAAGACTGACACATATTTCATTTGATTCTTATAGTCCTTTTTACAACCTGTTACTCCAATGCTGAATTACAATACAATCAACCTTTGTCAGTTTTTTTAATGTTGAACAATGTCTGGAGGCCAGGACAATTTTTTGTTACGACTAGGAAGATTAATGAGCAATAGATTTTTCAAGCATGAAGGGGGGGGAGAAAAAGAAGAAGAAAAAAAAATTGACTTCTTGAGCTAATAATATAAAATTGTCCTAGTTTGAACATTCTCTCCAGTGAGTTTATTTGCACATACTATATAAAGTGCCAAAACAAGAGAGAGGCATCACTTGAATGCAGGAAATAGACTTTTTTTTTTTTTTTTTTCCCATCATGTTATAAATTTTCAGTATAACAAGCTTCTTTGGGCACTTCAATTGTAAGTTAATCACAGAAGCAAAAATTGTTTTCTTACCATTTAGGACCCTGAGACTATCTGTTGAAGCTGCCTGTTTCAGTGTCTGTTCCGCTTGCTCCCGTCGTTTAGTCTCAAATTCAAGTGCTTCCTGCAATTTCCTCTTTGCTTTCTTTTCCTTCTTTAGCCTTTTCTGAATTATTGCTAGGAAAAAAGAACATGAGTGTACTCAAATTCAGATTGGAAACTTGGCTACATGATTACCTATTAAGAGTCCTGAGAAAAGCTACAACTGCAATAGTTCATATAAACTGATTCATTATACAACACTAATTTAATACTTGAAATTTGCTGGAATCACACTGGGATATTCTAAGAGCTACTGTTCTATACATGGTATTGAAAACTGTAAATTATATTCGACTTTAGCATATATATATATATTTATAAACAGAAGAATCTGTGAATGTCCACATCAGAAAACCTTGGAAATGGCCAATGAAATGCACTTTTTGCATCATCTGATGTTGATACATCTCTGTCTCTGGAGGTGAAGTGTTTTTTTCAGAATTAAGTCCACCATTTTGTTATTGCCCATAGAACACATTTAGTATACAAATAGTGATGAAGTTCTCGCCTGCCTGCTTGCTTGCCTGCCTGCAGCTTCTCTCCCACAAGAGGGAGATCCGGCTGCTTGGGTGTCTGGGCTGCAGGAGGAGCTCAGCCCCCACCCTACTGTAGTTCTCATTCCTTAGGGAAATGCCCTGAGCTTTCTAACCCCCCTCTAAGCTGCTGCTTCCTGCTAGCCATCTGACCTCTTGGTGCCCGGTGTCTTCCCCATATTTATTTCTTATCCACATTTCCCTTTGTCTTTCCCTTTTCTTTTTCTTGCTTTCTGTCAGTTCCTGTTCCATCAACTAACTGACCTTGACGAACTCACAGCAAATCCTTTACGGAACTGGATCCCCCAGCCAAGTAAATATTAATTTGCTTTCTCAAGTGTAAGGCAAAATATTAGGAAAGGAAGGAGTAGTTTAAAATTAAGCATTAAAAGGCCCTAATTTAGAAAAATGTTTTCCTTGTGTCTCTTCAGTTCAAATTTTACAAGGAAAAGGACTCTAAGATCTGCATGAAACTTAATGACAATTTTCTTTTCTATGTTACCAGTGACTTACAATGACAAAAGCAAGACTGGCACGATCCCTAACTGAAGGAACATACTGCAGGTTACATTCCTGATGGAAAAGAATAATGTGAACCAATTTTTCTACTTGATAAAAGCCAAAGTGAGCCTCTAAAGAAATCATGTAGAGTCATAGAACATATCATTATCTCCTCCAACACACCCCAACCTTTCTTACATACCCCATTTAGCATTCTCAGGGATGTGCATGTAAGAAGTTTATTTCTCATAAGATCTTCCCGGATAACCCTTTCCTTGAGAGTCTGTTACTTTGATACTAACTAAAAAATTATCTACTAAACTACTCACTAAAGAATTTTTTACACACAATAAGCAAATTATGCTTCCCAAAACCAGATACTAGATGATACTAGGTTTGACTGCCAAGATCTATCTAGTCCTGTATCTCAGTCCAAAGTAACCTCTGGTACACGCCTAGGGATAAATGCTGGAAAAGGTAAAAATGTATTTCTACCAGTTCATACTCCCCATTTCCAATAGTCTGTGATGGTGGTATCTTTACAAAATGCAAATAATAAAACTGTTAAAGGGAACTGACATTGTTATTACTATTTAATTTATATGCTAAGAATAACCACTTTTTGGGTGATCTTGGATATCTTGTGTTGCTATACAGAACTGTTCAGACACAAAATGAATAAAAGCACATATACTGTAGTCAGAATAGCTACATAATTTATATCCAAGACTTTGAAATTTTGGTTCTTTCTCATTTCATATAGTACCAACTACTTTACGGGCTAATTAGCTCATGCTATCAAAGAACATCTAGTATCTATACAAAGGCTAAACTAAATACATTTTGAATCATTGCACGGTTTTAATGTTTTCATTATAAGTACTTTGAAAGTGATTGCAATAAATGAGAAGGAAACATATGTTGCTTTCTGAATTAAAATGTCATCATGGCTGACACATTGTAGATGTGACTACAGCATTCAGAGCCAGAATTAGTAAGCCCTTACTGTGTAGCTGCTCACAGAAGAGATATTATCCTACTTTCACCAGTTGATGAGACACATCCTACAGCCTTAGGAATCACTAATTGGAATATTTACAAAGAAGGAAGGAAACAGTACAGTAAATAAACAGCTCTGTAGAACATACAGTAGCAGCAGTGAATTTAATGTTCAAAAAAAATGCAGAAATATTCAGATATAGCCACTAAAGGAAAAGATATTTTACTTGTGGTAACACGACTAGAAAAAGATAGAGCTGCCTAATGCTAAAAATCCCATTCATCTATGGGTTTTGACCTGTATGTGACACAGTGACTTGTGTTTTTATGCTGTAGCTTTTAAGTGCATTTCAGTTTTTTCATATGGCATCTCTTAATTTAGGGATATGGTATGCTTCTCCCATCTTGCTCATGCTTCCATTAAGACATGTGAAACTTCCTTTAAGCCATGGCACTTGCTATCTGTAGAAAGTAATAGTAGGTAAAGCCCCCTATGTATTTTTCTACCTTTAATTGAAGAATAAATTCTCACAATAATTACAGTCTGGCCTTACTTTTTCTCTCCTACTTGGATCTGTTCATTTTAAAGAATAATCCATTACTTTTTTTTTTCTTTTGTACAGAAGTATCCACTAGCAGAGACAGTCATCCTCATTATATTTGCTTTGCTGCATACTACCATTAAGTGTTCAAATCCATTCCTCTTTGGTCTGACTCTTTTACCAGTGCAATATCATCATTAGAGGGATACATTTAAAAAGCAGGTAATGCATCATGCTGAAAATAACACTGTCAATTATTTCAGTTCCATGAACGAAGTAAGGGACTATCCCATGCTCTTTCCTGACATATAGCTTTGAGTGAAATTCATTTTGCTTAATTTTAACTGCTCAAAACATGTGTCTAGTCCAGCCTATAAAACTATATTTCCTCTGGAGTTGAAGGAAAGAGAAAAAAGTCTTCAAAGTGTAACTGACCCCACCTACCTGTCTGAGAACAGGATATACAAATCTCTTTTTTTATTGACCAGAAGAGGAACTTCTATTAACTTAAATGAGGTGCTTAACTTTCAAATGGCAAAACTCAAGTAAGTTCAGATTCCCCCCCCCC